TTACCTCAATCTAACAGGGGTAACTTGCTGGATCAATGGAATGCACTTACGCAAGGCAGTCGACCTGTGACTGAATACGTTTCTCAGTTTGATGAGTTTCGAATGAGATGTCAAGTCGTTGAGGATGAAGTCATGACTTTGAGTAGGTTTAGGCAAGGCCTAAGGGATGATCTTAGACGTGAGCTTGTCCTTAGAGGCATCACCACTCTTAACCACGCCTACTCTTTCATTCGGGATTACGAGTTAGTGACTAAGACACCGTATAGAAATCGTAGTGACTCCTGCACCGCAACCTTTTCTGCATCCACTCCATCCTCTAAGTCTATTATAGGACCTCCTCCTTCTAACACTACCCCCACATCGGATAGCAAAGGTCGAGGTTCTGAGGTTTCAAGAACGTCCTCTCGTTTGCAATGCTTCAATTGTAAGGGTTTTGGTCACATGTCTTCTAAGTGTTCTAGCCGAGCCCTAGTTATGGAAGAGCGTGAAGGTATAGTTGACGAACCACTAGCGGACCAGGTTTATGAACCTAAGAAGAGTTTGATGACTTGGAGGATAGTGAAGATACCTTCTTAGTTTGTATTCAGGCTAGTCTCCTTATTCCACATACGCCTAGAGTCGGTGTCGTCCGTTGCACTCTTACCCAGCCTAGGGATGCCGATGATTGGCGCCGTCATGCCATCTTCCACACTTACATCAAGATTAATAAGAAGGGCTGTAAAGATATTGTGGATAATGGCAGCTGCATTAATGCGGTTTCGATGGCTACTGTATCCCGTCTACGGTTGAAGTCTGTTCCTCACCCTCAGCCATACAGCGTCTCTTGGGTTGATACCTCTTCTATAGCTATTAAGAAACGTTGTTTAGTCTCTATCCAATTTCTCGAGTATAAGGACCATATATGGTGTGACGTCATTTCTATGGATGTCGGGCACATCATCTTGGGACGACCTTGGTTATTTAACCTAGATGTAACCATCTATGGTCGATCTAATTCCTGCTCTTTTGTGTTTAATGGAAAGAAAATTCACCTTAACCCTCCGCCCCCAAAGCCTATTGGCCCACTAGAAACGAAGAAGAGTGTGGAACAAAAGGGATTGCATATCATTAGTCCTACGGAGTTTGAGCATACACTTTTTAGTGACTCAATTGTGTTCACTTTGGTGGTCATGGAGGTTTCATCCCACTCCACAATAGAGAGCTCTGTTGAAGTCCGGTCGATCCTCCAAGAGTTTCGAGATGTCTTTCCGGAGGACCTACCTGATCATCTACCTCCTCTACGGGATATTCAACATGCCATAGATTTCGTCCCAGGGGCATCCCTTCCAAATTTGCCTCATTATAGGATAAATCTTATCGAGCACGCTGAACTTCAAAGGCAAGTAGATGACCTCCTTCATAAAGTATTCATTCGTGAGAGTTTAAGCCCGTGTGTTGTTCCCGCCCTATTGACGCCCAAAAAGGATGGTTCTTGGAAGATGTGTGTGGATAGTCGTGCGATCAATAGGATCATGGTGAAGTATCGTTTTTCCATTCCTAGACTTGACGATATGTTAGATATGATGGTTGGTGCCACAATATTTTTGAAGATTGATCTGAAGAGTGGATACCATCAGATTCGAATTCGCCCAGGTGATGAGTGGAAGACTGCGTTTAAAACGAAAGATGGCCTTTATGAATGGCTGGTCATGCCTTTTGGGCTAAGCAATGCGCTAAGTACCTTTATGCGGGTAATGACGCAAACTCTTCGACCTTTCATGGGTAAGTTTCTTGTTGTCTACTTTGATAATATCCTCATTTATAGTAAGACTAAGGAGCAACACCGTGACCACCTCACACAAGTTTGTTCTACCTTTCGTGCAACTAATCTGTATCCTAACGTCAAGAAGTGCTCTTTCTTCACCGATACAGTTGTTTTTCTGGGGTTCATTATCTCTTCGACACGAGTATCTGCTGACCCTGCTAAGGTTTAAGTGATTATTGACTGGCCTGAGCTTAAAGCTATTCATGAAGTCAGGAGCTTTCACGGCTTAGCTACATTTTACCGTCTCTTTATCAAGGGGTTTAGCACTATTATGGCGCCTATCACGGAGTGCATAAAGAAATGGGAGTTTCATTGGACACAAGAGGCAGCTAAGGCCTTTAAATTAGCCAAGAAGAGAATGACGGAGGCTCCTGTTATGCGTCTTCCCGACTTTTCCAAAGTCTTTGAAGTTGAATGTGATGCCTCCGGGGTAGGTACATGCGGAGTCTTGAGTCAGGATCGTCATCCTGTTGCCTACTTCAGTGAGAAGTGAAATGAAGCCAAACAACGGTACTCAACTTATGATAAGGAACTGTATGCGGTGGTCCAGGCTTTGCGCTATTGGCGCCACTATTTGTTGCCCCAAGAATTTGTCCTTTATTCGGATCACGAGGCCCTCCGTTACCTCAACTCCCAGAAACGATTAAGCTCTAGGCATGGTCGTTGGGTCGAATGTTTGCAGGCATACTCATTTGTTTTAAAACACAAGAAGGGCGTGAAAAACCAAGCAGCTAATGCATTAAGTCGTCGTGTCTCCCTTTTGTCGATCATGAGTGTCAAGGTCGTCGGTTTTGAAAGGCTTAAGGAGGATTACGAGGCATGTCCCGATTTTAAAGATATCTTTCTTGATTTACAAAAGGGACAATCAGGCGCCACAGATGGCTTCCGACTTGCGGACGTTTATCTCTTTAGAGCCAATAAATTGTGCATCCTTCGAATTTCAGTGCGAGATTTCACAGTGTGGGAGGTTCATGCGGGAGGGTTAGCCGGTCACTTTGGACATGATAAGACCATAGAGGAAGTTGAACGTCAATTCTATTGGCCTAACTTGAAGAAAGACGTGGCTAAAATTGTTAGTACTTGTAACACTTGTCAATTGAGTAAACAGAAAAAGCAGAAAACAGGCCTATACACCCTTCTTCCCGTCCCCAATTGTCCTTGGCAAGATGTTAGTATGAATTTTGTATTAGGCCTTCCATGCACCCCAAAGAAACATGATTCTATTTTTGTGATTGTCGACCTTTTTTCGAAAATGGCTCATTTTATCCCCTATAGCAAAACCTCAGATGCGTCTAAGGTGGCTATGTTGTTCTTTAATGAGATTGTTAAATTGTATGGGCTTCCTAAGACAATTGTGTTCGATAATAATGTTCGTTTCACTAGCCATTTTTGGAGGACTTTGTGGTAAAAAATAGGTACCAAATTGAAATTTTCTATGGCCTACCACCCTCAGACTGATGGTCAAACTGAAGTAGTTAATCGAAATCTTGGTAACCTCTTACATTGTCTGGTCCGGGAGAATCTTCGAAATTGGGATTTGATCCTTCCTGTAGTTCAAATTGCGTATAATAGCTCCATAAATCGTTCATTAGGTATGAGTCCATTTGAAGCCGTTCATGGGTACAAGCCTAGGAAAACGTTAGATCTCATCCCTATGTCCCCACAGGCTAGAGTGTCAGTGTCAGCCAAAGCATTTACACAACATCTTCGTGATTTGCATATTGAGATCAATAAACAACTTGAAACTAGTAATGCACGATATAAACTCCAAACTGATTTGCATAAACAACATATTGAGTTTAACGTTGGGGATTACGTTATGGTCCGCATTAGGCTAGAGCGGCATCTACATGGACCCGCCTCCAAATTGCAAGCTCGTAGTGCTGGTCCTTTTAAAATTTTAAAGCAAGTTGGTCCAAATGCCTATGTTGTTGACATTCCACCACATCTTGGTTACCATTCTACTTTCAATGTTAAGGACCTAGTAGCTTATAAAGGTCATTTCATTCCCTCAGATGATCCTTTGTTACCTCTTTTTGTGGACCTTGATTCAGACTATTTGATCACTTCTACCTACTACCACCTCTCACAATACACACAGATAAAATTGATGCTACTTTAGATTAAGAAATTGTGTTTACTAATGATGGAGAGGTTCAGCACTTCCTCGTTCGTTGGGTTGGTCGACCAGATTCTGATTGTACATGGATCTCCAGAGACACACTACAGCAATTAGATCCAGATTTATTGGAGCTTTATCGGAGTCAGCAAGATCTTCCTTGGCCTAGATCGCCTCCTGTTCACCCAAGGGGAGTTGGTGAGGACACCAGATTCAGACCTCCACTGACATATTTTTACAGACGCCGGAAGAAGCTTGCCTAACCACTCAACTTATGGTTGGGAGATTGACGACATCCTATAGTGATATATCCACTCGACAGGGTCGAGTTTTTCTTCCACCCCAGGAAAGTTGATGAGGACATCGGCCGTTTACTTATTTTATTTAAGCTTTATTTACTTTTGGACTATTATTTAAAATTTGGACTTATATGGGCCCGGACCCAATCTCGTTAGGGTTACTTTACTATTTAAACCTATTTTGCATTGTAATTTTCAATTGATGAATGAATAATAATTATTGGTGGCTTGTGACGCAGTTCTCCTCTCTTCTCCACTATTTCCCCCTTCTTCCATCCGTTCCCCTAATTTCTTCTTCCTATTATATGGTTTTCTCGCTTTCTATTCAATATCTCTATTAGTGCTGCATCAGAAAGTTTGGAACAAATGTAGTACTACGAGTATCACCTGTGATTGTCATATTCAAGGTGGATTATTGTTCAAAGGCAATCAAGAATTTCAAATCCGCCTCCGCATAAAATTCTATATCTGCAGCTCTGAGTACACATATTATAGTGAATCACACCATATGGATATATAAACCCCTTATGCAATTCTTTCCAATAAATATATTTCGGTGTATCTGTTTTTTCTTGGGGGGAACAGGACTCATTTACCTAATCTTTAAACAAAAAAAATATAAAAATGTCAAATTCCTTCATTAATTTAATTAACACTAAAAAGTACACTGCATTACATATATGCATATGAATACGAAACTTTATCTGCAGCAAAATATAAGTGCAGAATCCACAATTAAAAGAGCTATTGTAGCAAAACCCATGTTAAAAAAACTTACAGAGAACATAAAAAGCAACCCCTGAAGATCCCCGAGCTCTTGGTCCTCGAAAACCGAATCCAACCCGAATTGGGATTCCAACGAACCATCCATTACTGGACACCGAGCAGAGGCAAACTGCAAGTACAGAATTCCCTTGTCCTCGTCCTGAAAAAAACTCAATTTCCTGCTTTCCAACCATTTCTTTATCTCCGCGTTATTTTTTTCATCTTCAATGCGAAATGGCTTGTCCAAATTCCCCGAGCCAAACACATTGGAGTCAATGATTCGGTTCATAAGCTGGGCCACGTCCTCGTGACGTCTTCCAATAAACCCCACGACGACGACACCGTTTTGAGGGGGATCTGGTGGTGTTGGTGGTGGTAGTGGGTGGGGCGAGACTGGAGGTGTAGGATTCGGGGGGCGAACAAGGACTCGCATTGACTGGGATTTGAGGTTTGGAATATGGGTATCCATAGATGAATTGTGCGGAAAGTTGAGTATTTGGGTTCCGTTTCAATTCGGAACTGTATATGCAGATACGTTTTATTTTTTGGCGGTGGCGGTTCTCGGTGGCGGTCGAGGAACAGGACTCCGTTAATAGAGTTGGGCCAGCTCGCAAAACCAATTATTAGGGTTCAAAATTCAATTTTAATGGTGGCCAAATCAATCAACTTTGGGAAAAGCCATTGGTACTCTCCGGTCTACACGCTCGGTTACACGGTCTCATCGTCCCTCTCACTTGGGTCTCGGGTCCCACAAACGGTTACACGGCCCCATCGTCCCTCTCACATGGGACAATTGTGGGACCCGAGACCCAAGTGAGAGGGACGATGGGACCGTGTAACCGAGCATGTAACCCGACGTGTACCTATAGCTCGGTCCATCAACTTTTGCCTTAGTTTGCTTTACCTTAAAAAGTTTATTTATAAACAAATCTTAAAATAAGAATTAATCTACTCGAACATTATTTTTGTACATAGGTTGACGTCCCTCTATGTAGGCATGTCAACGAGCCGAATTGAGTCGGTTCGAGAGCCGAAACTCGAGCTCGAATCGAATAAAATTGTGCGAGTTTTTTTGGGCCCAAGCCGAGCCGAACTTTTGCTCGACCAAAAAATTAAGTTCGACCTGAGCTTTCGACTGGGCTTTACTGAGCCAAGCCAGATTGAGTTTTTTTTTTTATAGTTGCCAATTTAAGGCAGCTATTTAGCTACCTGTTAATAGCTGGCAGCTATACAACAACCTATTGCTGATAGCAGCTTTATAGCTGCCTGTTAAGGTCTTTTGTCGTCGAGCCACACGGGCCAGCTCAAGTCGACATCCTAAAATGAGGCTCGGCTCGAGCCATGGCTCGGTGCCTTCGAACCACAACTCGGGTTAGCTGGAGCTTTTCTTGGGCCAAGTTACAGGGCGTCCGGGCCGATAAACCAAATTTACATCCTACCTCTATGAGTATATTTAATAGTATGTTTGATTGGCTTTATTTTCAATGGAAAGTATTATTTTTCACCCAAATTCCTACTTTTGAGGTGTTTGATTAACAATTTCTCCATAAAAAATATTTTTCAACTTTTCGTCACGTGACCATATTTTTCTCAAAAATAAGGAAAATATTTTCTTTAGTGAGAAGTGATTTTTATTTTTTAGGTAATTCATTCTATTTTTCTCTCTTATTTATCCACTCTCTCTCGTCTATCTTCCAATAAAAAATGGACAAGTATAATATTTTCTAGGTTGAAGACTAAATCAATCAAATTATTTAATTACTAATTTCCATACAAATAAGTTCTATACAATTGATTTGCCTAGATTTTTTTTCCATATAAATTTCATACTTACAATCAAACGCATCCTAAATATCAGATTGATGGCATTTGAGGCAGGTTACATGTGGTGATGATTTGAAGTTCAAAGTTGACTTAACCCTATACATATTCGACACTAAAAAATCTTACTATGGCATTGTTCGAATCCCATTTTTCATCAAAATGCATTATTGATCAGTGATTTAAAGTCATTTCAAACATACATTTTTTAATAAAATAATATTACACTCAAACCCAAAAATTTTCTTTATTTTTTAACTACACATTCTCCATCATAACAATGTATGCCTGGCTGTAAATGGATTGGATCTGCCTAAATTTGATATGAAATGTTAAGAAAAATTACCTAATCCGATAATCCAACAAATATTTGATTGTTAAATTTATATCCGATTTGCTACATTATTGGATACCCGATCCGAAATTGAAAAAATTAGAAAGATAAAAGATTTATATTGGTTAAATTCTAAGCCCTAAAATTAAAAGTCCTAAATAGCTTTTTACCTAATTCTTGACCCACTTAGTTATAGATTATAAATTTTATGACATTCTATTGACCATCCAGTATGGGAAGTGATAAGTTAAGAATAAGTAAAGCAATTCCAACTGTTGGCTCCTTTGGTCGTTTAATTTTTAAAATAAATTAATTATTATTTTTATCTTATTTTAATTATTAAAAAATTAAATCTCTTCAAATATTTTAATTAACAATATTATACTATTATATAATATTATTTATTATTTGAAAATTAACAAGATTTGAAATGGAAAAAATTATGTGTAATAAATGATATGATAATATATAAAATATATGATATTATTATAATAAATCGAATCGGGTTGTTATCAAATCGGATTGATCTATATTCATATTTGCTTCATGTATTTAACGAATTATCGGATCCGAATTTTGATCGAGTTATTGGAATGAGACCCTAAATTCATTTCTCATTAATTTCACCGGATTCGAATCAAAATCAAATCCATTGATAGTTTTAACTATATGGTTTAAATAATGAATCACGATAGGCAATCGAGTGAAGACAACTCCCATTATGTCATGTGACTTCTACTATAACAGGGTGACTGCTACTATGCTAGCCTAACCTAGCTTCTACTATGATAGGGTAACTGCTATTATGTTAGCTTGATTCGACTTCTACTGTGATAGGGTGACTGCTGCTATGCCAACCTGAATACCCTAAGTTGGCCCAACTACTATTACATTGGATTGACCACTCCTACCCAAATCGCTTGGATATCGTTGAAATTGATTGAAAACCATTTGACGATTACCGGTGGGTCCATTATCTAATTTGTAGATAAAGGTTAACTGCTTAGCACGTGAGTGAAAATCGTCTGGTGAGTGGTCATGCTACATTGGACACGTGGATGGTAACCACCTAGCAGTTACATGGTGCCAGGTACCTATATAGACCTCATAAGCATGCCAGGCATGAATGGACATTTCTTTTCCAAAAAAATACTCTTTCGAGCATTCTCTCACTATTCTTTAAATCGTGTGTCTACAAACAATCACCGATTCACATGCTGGAGGTAAAATGGGGAAAGAAGCCCTAATCTCTTTTTGGTAGGTTCATCGGAATAGAAAAAGACGTGTTTCGCCCAGGAAGTCATGAGGGTGTATCTAAACTATTTCAATTGCAAAATATATATTTAAAAAAAAAAAAAGGGGGCGTCAAACAACCCCATATTTATGCATCTTCTTTCAATTTATCTTACTAATGTTCAACCATACAGTAATTGGTGTTACTAGTCATAAAAAATGGCCACATGGATCCCCCGTATATACACGTGGCAATCATCCAAAGTCATTCAAGAACTGCAACATCTGAAGTAGTAGTGATTGAATGCTGAGGTCGTTACATTAAGAACAGCTAAGGTGATCCTATCCATGCTAGTCTCTTGTTGTCGAACTCCCTGAAATATCTGAGGTCCTTAACAGGTTCAGCAAGCACGTTTTCGGAGTTGATTGATGCGTCGTGCTAAATGTCAGAGAAGTCAGTCTAGATTTGTAGGGTGGTTGACTTCTTGTTAAGGGCCTGTCAACGTAATTAATATGAAGTAGAATTGACATGACGTCAAGGGTCGTCAGATCAAGCCACGTGACTCGGATATAACGGTGATCACGTTGGTCTGATTACTATAAATAGACAATTCTTGTATCGTTTAAAAGAATGGATCTATGAATGAAAAAGATGACATAAAATATCTCTCCCTTGTTTCTATTTTCTTCTTCCACAAACATTCATATTTATAATAGAAATACTACAAAGCACATCCACGTGTACATTATCTTCTAATGACACCTGTTAGCCATTTTCGAAGGTCAACAGATTGGCGTCGTCTGTGGAAAACTTGGAATAGCTAAACCACGAGTACCCCGTGGGGTAAAGCCTTTGAACAAAAGGTGACATCCTTGAAAAAGAGCAATACAAGACACAATCGAGGTGTTGAAAAAGGTGACTCAAAAGAAACTCTACTAAATCTTTGAGTAAAGGAAAACAACCCCAAAAACAGAGCCAAAGAGAGGTTTTCTATCGAGAAGGGGTAGCCATGAGTTCGATAAAGGAAGAATCAACCTAAACAGATTAAAGAACGCTTTGGCAAGGAAGCGTCCTCGCGAAAATGCCCCAATAATTCAGGAGCCCCTGCCAGCTATCTCGCAGTTCACCATAAAAGAAATGGCTCGATGAGCTCGCCAGAGAGTTGGCCACCGTTACCGCAAACATGAGAACCATCTCCCAGCAAAATACAACAATGCAAGAACTGCTAAAGCACATGCAAGGTCAATTGGCCAACTCCTTACAGAACGAGGAGGTCGTTCCACACGAAAGAAATAAGGATGTGGACACGGTTGCCGACTACGCCACCGACCAAATGATTGGAGAGACTGTCGTTCCGTTAAAATACAGCAGGGCAATCGTGCCAAAGAGGTTAGCTAGTGTCTTTGACAGGTTTGGTCCTACAAGAAATAGACAGAGCCGACCTCGCATTTCACCTGCTCAGCTCAGACTCCCTCATATCCCCTTGAGCCAGCACACCTGTTCAACCAGAAATCAGCATGGACAACTTCAATCGAGAACTACAGTTGTGCTCACCCATAGATGCATACATTCCCAGCCTAAGAATAGGCGTGAAAAACGAGCTGCACTAGCTCAGATGCGGGCGAACCAAAATTGACCGTACGAGAAAAAAGGGTATAAGCCCAAGATGATGTCTCCTTAAAAATCGACCATTCTAGGCAAAGTCCTCTAGCAAAAAGAGGCGCTAAGACATATAACTACCAGGCCAGGCTTTATGACCCCGACAACACATGAGTTAACCTCCGCAACAGATCAGTAAACCAATGGCACAAGCCTCATAGAAAAATGATTTGTTGTCTTCCCCATCCCATCCAAAAGATGTAGTCAGTGGACGGAAGTCTCGAGAACTACCCCCATGAGAAAGACAAAGGCCTTGTCTAAAAAGATGAGCGTCGATTTTGGCCATCTCAGACCAGCTCATTTTGCGTAAAGAGGCGCTAAGACATATAATTGTAGAGGTGGGCCCTATAACGTCAGCCAATAAGAATTGACATCTCAAGAGCAGCAGTGAAAAGTGTGATCTGTTGCCTTCTCCAGTCAAAGCAGCTCAGGTATAAGCCTCGTAGAATTATATTACCTGTGAAAACTTTGGCTCAAAAGGCGAAGGCCGACCCTCCTGTTGACGGACTAAAGACTTTAGCCCATCTAAAGAGGAAGGCCAAAATAGGTCAAAGAGAGCATAGCCCCACCCTATGTATAT